TTTTTTTATTTAAAAAAAAAAAAAAAAATTGGTGTTTACACTATCATCTAGAGAGGTGGTCATCATCCACTAAAAAAGAAGTCATTACCACCCATTAGGGGAGGAGTCACCATCCTATGTAAAAGGGAGTTTATATAATGGAAGGATTTCTGATGTTTGTCCAGAAAAAACTTATAATGTTTTAAATGAATTAATATTTGTGGAGATGTTTTTGTGAACATATACCAGAGGTGTCAAACTATATTAAAATTATATCTTTTCTATTTCATGTTTGTGTTGTATTTATCTGTGTGTCCATACTTTGATTTTCATTATGCTTGAAGGGGATTTTTAATCAACAAATATGAACCTCTATCATTATTTTAATTTTAAATTAAAAATGCATTTTAAGTAAAGATCGACTACCATCTTATAAAAATATGAGTTGTTATTATTTAATTTATTAATATGGAAATTTTATAATAATATAAAAATTTATGTAACTCGACTTTGTATGATTTTACAAGTTAATACATTATGTAACACAACAATTTGATTGCAAAAAAACTTTAATGAATGGTGAAGTTGCTTCTCTTTACATGTATGTTTGTTTTGATAAATTCTATACAAAACTTGGACTATCAAGTATTGGTTATTGAAATGGATCGACCCAACATTCATCCTCCTCAACTGCCTTTTGCCATCGTTTTCTGAAAACTTGTAATTCACGGTAAGACATTCTTCTCACCTGCACCATATACAAATTAATATTAGTGCCAACTCAACAACAACATTAGATATATATTTAAGGCCAAATAGCAAGTTTTTAACATAAAAATTTCCTCTTAAAGAAAACTGATATATACTCAGATATAATTTGATACTTAAATTGGACAAAACTTTGAAATTATACAACAATAGTAATCGTTAGTGTTATTTTTCAATCTAAATTAAAATTTTATTTCTATAACAAGTGTTGATATTTAATGAAATATTTTATTACGTACATTATCAGAATAAAGCTCAAAAGTTTGATAAAAAAAAACTCAAACAACACTTACATACTGAATGTAAGTTTTATCTGAATAGAAAAATTTACTCATGGAGGTGAGCTAAATGTCAAAGGCAGATAATGACATTAGAGAGAGTGATTGTCGTTGAAGGTGACAAGTGCCTTTAATAAAGGTTTTCAATTCAATAAACCAAACATGTCATTTTCCATCTCTTCAGATATTTGCATAGGGCTAATGAGAATAACACTAAATCTTAAAAGAAAATGTTATTTCTTTCCTATCAAACAGCCTGGCATATGTCCATATAGAAGCATTATTCAAAGAAGTGGATTCTGAACCCAACTAAATAATTTGAAGAAAAGAACAATGCAATGTGCTTTTTTTTATAAAAAAAAACAGAGGTAAAATTTAAGCAGTGTGGCAATGGTTTGGGCTAAATTTTTTTGACAAAACTGTAACTTACATCAACTCTATGATCCTTTGCCCGAGATGAAACCTGCAAAGTCAGACAAATTTCAGTTGAATTAGAGGCACAATTTCCATATACAAAACATACTAAAAATCATAATCTTTGCAAACTTTAGGAGTACAAGCAAAAATCTTCTATAAAGATGCCATATTTCTGACCTCATTCACATCTAAGCCTCCAAGAGTAGGATGACCATAGTGGACTATGTATTCAGCATCCACAACACCAACATTTTTTGTTCTATCACCCTAGTAACCATGAATAAATCATATTAAAACAGAGAGTAAAAATGAAACGGGTTATATTCATTATTCAACATGTAGAATAGAAAATCCTCAAACTGAACCAAAAATTAAGGAGCATGACATGCCTGAGCACAGTAGCCTAGCTGCATATCTAGACCCCACGCATGGATCAAGTCATTCTGTAAAATAAACCAAACCATAAATGATGAATAAATAACCTTAGCAAAACAATGCTTACAAGATTTGTTTAGATAATTTTTTCCCAAAGTACTTCTATAGAAGTAAAAAATAGAAAGAGAAAATGAAATAAACTTTTTAATAAACTAAAATTAACTTATACATAAATTAAAAATAATTTTGTGGAGAAGTTAAGATTTGTTTGTTTAAACTTAAAAAAAATAACTTTAAAAACTGATTTGTTTTTAAGTGATTTTTATGAAAGCAAAAGTTGATGTGTTTGTTTACAATCATAAAAAAAACCTTGTTCGATAGTAGCATTAAAATGAGAGAATGGTGCACCTGGATCATATACCAAACGCAACGCCATGCAGCTCTTGAGAAAACAGGAGCCATCATTTCAACCCACCTGAAACAATTAGTTAACCTTTCTTAAGCTATAGTAAGATAAAGGGAATCCACACTAAATTAGAAGTTACAACAAAACCTTTACCCTGTGCAAGGGGGAGCAGTGCTACTTCCATCACAACCTTTGCCTCTACCACCAGATTTGTAAATCCTTCTGCTCACACAATGACCAAAACCATACTCAATATAGACACAAGTATCTACTACAAAACTTATTTAATAATTTAAGAATATGATTTATCAAGGTGCTTGGTTTTAAGTACCTGTTTTACAAGCAAAATCAATTTCTTACACCTTGATACATTCTAATTAAAGTAATTTCTATAGATGAAATTAATTTGGACATATATTGCAATCAAGTAAAACAGATCAAAATGAATCTTATCAAAATCAATTCCACCAAAAATTTGAATCAAACGGGCACTAAATAGCTAAACTGTTAACTGCCTTTATAACAAAAAAGCTAGGCTAGAAGTACATGTTGCAGAATGCAGTGTTGGTCTAACTAATGAGATAATAGGAACCAGCTATCCCTCATAAAGGTGAAACTATTTATGTTCTATAGTTAACTGTAGCTATTGTAATGAGACAAAAAGCTTGTTTCTTATAATACAAACAAAATCATAGTTGACAACAGTAAAAAGGGTAAACAAGATAACCTGTGCACATTTGACCTCCTCCCACGAGCTGTAATCTGATGATGTACCTCTGATTTTTCAGTATCAAGTGCTGGTTGTGATATCTCTAATCCTTCACTTTTTATAATAGAAACATACCTATAATAATCATTTAAGTATAAAATATCGATTAATCCCCAATTAAGATAATGTACTAATATAGGACATTTTTCAAGAACTTAAAGTTATAATTAACTTCTAGTTTTAAACTACTTAATTCACGATAATCAAATTTAGCGTGTACTTGCTCCAGTTATGTTTACAGAATAAATTGAACATACTTATCAGGGTGGAAGTTTTCTACTCCAAGATCCTCATCCCATAGGAAAACATAGTCATAGTCTGGAACTATGTCAGGGTGTAAGAAACGTTTGGCAAACCACCTAGTCAAGAAAAAATAAAAAATATGTCCAAGAATACAAAAGTTTAGGAAAACTGAATTACAGAAATTCTTTAAAGAATAAACACCATTTTGGTCCTGAATTTGAAAGACGCTGTTATGTTGAATCTTGAAATTAAAAAAATTTCAATCAAGTTTCTAAATGTATAAACTCACAATTATATTAGTTCAAAATTAAAAAAAAAACGCATAACTAAACTGATAATATTAATATATATCCAAGGATTAAAATAACAGCAAGTAGTTAAATTTAAAGATTCATTTAATATTTTTTTAGATTTTGTGACTAACATGAGAGCGCCTTTTAAATTTAGAAACTAAAATGATTGTGTACTCTTCTTTATATTATTGATGGTAATGAAACGAATGGTCCCTTACCATTTACTTTGATTGGCTACAGAAACATGAATGACCTTCGTACTCCATTCAAAGTCATTCCATTCATCAACAATGTTATCATAGTGGAAAAGCATCACAACGAAATTACTTGCTAGAAACTGCAATTTGTGGTAGAATGAGTCATCACTTATCACATATCAAAATAGAATGATAGTAATGAGCAATTTGTACAGAACACTCCTTGAAATCACCTTTTTGACCATTTTGTTCACAAGGTCTTTCTGCTTTATCCCAACTGCCATTGCAAACAAATTGGTTGACGCTTTTTCCTTATTCTGTTCAAATGTGTCCAAGTCAAAACATACACACAAGCACGGCAAAATAACTAGGAGAAGAATAGCATAGAAAAGAATACAAACTAAGGCTGAATGCAATTAAAGAAACAGCTTAGCCTCCACCAAAAACTTTACAGTAAAATATCTATAAATAGCGTAGAAGTTGTATAATTCAATTGCTGGCTTAGGCTCTCGAAATCAGATTATGCAAGTATGCAATTTTTCTTCTGATTAAACAAAGCAGAATATCTAAACAGATTATTCCTAGGACAAAACTTAAATGTAGTTCTTCTAGTAGGAGTTTCACCTTAGTATTCCACATGATACAGGTTTGTATTAAAAATCAGCTTAATTATCAAAGTCAAAGTCAAACTCCCATTCTAGTTCATATGAAAAATCAGCTAAAGTTATCAAATTCGAACTCCAATTCTAATTAAAAAAATTGCACTGAAAGTACTTAAGAAAATTGCATATATGTTTTGTCCTTATTCCTTACTCTTGCTCGAGTATGTTTATTAACACTGTAAAATGTAAATGAACAGAGACATGTTAGTTCTTTTAAACTTTATTTACTTTCCAATATGTTTATATTAACACTTTGGTGTAAATGAACAGTTGGAAAAATATTTTGAAAGATACCACGGAAGTTGGTTATTCAATTTTTTTTTTGTTGTTGTAAAAATCAATTATTAATAAAGTCTATAGATATTTCGAACAAATAACATAATTAAAAAAAGAAAAATTATTCACGTTCCAAAATGAGAACTATTGTGTGAAATCAATCAATCATACACAACCCTTACACTGCATTTAAAAACAAATATAACATTCCCCCAGGAGAAAATGCATGACCAATATGATATTCATAGGTCACAGGATTGAAACTCACATCTATTGTCTTAGTCTTAGGAAGATCCCACAAAGGTCTCATTTGCAAATCAGAAGTATTGGAGATTATGCCTTCAGGTAATGCATGACTTCCACCAGGCCTGCACTGATTCTGCTAAAAGAAATAAACAAATATAAGAATCAAAGTTGAACATCCCAAACAGTAGACGATGAATGACTCAAATATCATGTAATTAAGTAATTTACAAGCACTTAGGAAAAAGTATGCTTAGTAAGAGAATGAACCTTGCAATTATCGTTTTCCAATTTCTTGGTGTTCATTCTCCATCTTATTGGTTTCTGCAGTATAAAACCAAAACCATTATATCTGAATCCCTATAAGTCAAAGTCAAATCCAATAGGTTATTTGATTTACAAACATTCATCCCCGAATTACAAAATAGGATCAATGAATTGAACACAAGTTCTCATTTATGGTGAACAAAAAGTCAACCAATCCACATGGGCAGATGAATTATAATTCTGAAACAACACTACGCAGAAAAATCGTACTTCTCAAGAGGTAAGAGTTTATTGAATTTATTTATATACCTCGTTGTAGAGTTCTGCAGAGAATGAACCCGTGAAAAGCAAAATAACACAAAGCAAAGAAACTGTTGAAGCGATGCTACATAGGCATGATCTTTTACTCTTTGTATCAGAATCGAAAATTTCCTGACATAAAATACGAGGAAACAATTAGATGAAAGAGAAATAACAAATATGATCATATTTCAGTATTTCAACATCCAATATAAACCCCACATGCACAATTCATAGTTCTGCTAAAAAAAATTTAAAGGAACATACCAAAATTACGAGATAAATAAAAACAGATGAAACAGTATAAAGGAACATAAAACATGAACACAAACAATAATTGATTCAATGGTAACAACATATGAATTGATGAAAAAGTAACCTACACGACCAGGAGTCTTCATTTTCTGAATTCAGAAGCAGAAGACAACACAGAGTTCTGTTACAAGCTGTTGACCAAAAACAATGAAAAATCGAAATTAAATCGAAAACAATTTGGTTAGTGGTAGAGATGATGTTGATCATAAGGATAAGTGCCTTTGGTTTAGTGGTGATGATATAGTTAATTGATAAGGGAGAGATAAAGAAAGATAACTAACACGAAGTCAAAACAAATGGGTATGCACGATGATCTTATTCTATGTATAATGTTATTTTTGAAAAACTGAGGTTGTTTTGTCACGCGCCAAAGTAAAATGTTTTTCTCATAGTTTTCTGCGAATCAAATTGAATCTGTTTCTTCTTTGTGTTGTGTGTTACGTTATAAAGCGTAGACCACCATAAGTGGCGTTTGCATCACTGGCATATGGATGTGGATGTGGTGTTGTGACGTAATAACTTAACATTAACACATGTGCTTTATTTCTCCTTCAAGGTTACAAAAAGGAAAAAAAAAAAATTTGGTCAGTTGCATTTATTAGGTTCTAAATTAAAATTATGATTTATGAATGCATTAATGACTTATGGATTATTTATTGACTTTATTTTCTTTTTTCTAAAAATATAGTCTTGTACTTATTTATAAGACTTCTTTCAAATCATTCAATTAATTTAAGATTTTGAATTTAAATTTTGATGTCGTCTTTATAATTCTAGAGAAAAAAATTACTTTAATATGATATTATAATTAACTCTTATATATTAAGTATGAATTGTTATTTTATTTGAGAGTGTTTTTAGAAGTTTTTTTATGAAACTATTTATAAAAATTCTTTTAACTTCTTATCTAATTTAATTTTTATTTAATATAATTATTTTTGAACTGAATATCAATATTTTAAAATAAATCAACCCTTATCGAATAGTGTTTTTAGGAGTCTTTAGGTATTTTTTTATTTATAATTTTTATCTATTCAATTTTTATTTAACACTAGTAAAAAAAAGTATTTTGTGCCTCTTAAGTTTTAAAAATTATAAATAAAATAAAAAAGAGACAAATTGAATGAGTGATTATGAGTAGTTACTTAAAAAATAACAATTATTTTATTTATTTTTTCTTAACAAATAAGGGATATAGTAGTCTACTAAAAGTGAAGACTAAAAGCCGTTATTCACTATGTATCCTCCTTATAATAGATAATAGATATATCTTCTTTATAATAGACTAGTGGAGTCAAGACACTTCGTACCTTTATTAAAGGTAAAATTAAAATTAAAATTAAATAATAAAAGTATATTGGTCTAATTGATATTATAATTAATCCATTAATTTCAAGTTCTTGAATTTGAATACAAATATTATTTTTTTAATTTTTTAAAACAAAAAGATATAATAGTCAACAAAATATGAATACCAAGGTGGTTACTAAAAAGAGTATCTCCTTTATATATTAGTATAAAAAATATATAAAAGCCGTTATTCATAAATTGGATATTGAATTATATAATTATCTTTGATGTCCACTTTTTAGTAGACCATTATGTCCTTCAAATATATAAAAAAAATCCTTATATCCTCTCTAAATAATTACTCTCAACCTTTTAATATCCTATTTGTGTGTAACTATTAAAAGCACGAAGTGTTTCGGTCTCTCTAGTTCTTTATAATAAATATAGATAATTATTTATAAATTGTCAATAAAATATAATTATGTATTATAATATAAATTTTTATCATAAATTTAAACTATAATTTATATGTTTAAAAATATATATATTAAATATAATTTATATATTTAAATATATTATTTAAACGCGTGACCACACACATAAATAATTTATTATAAATTTTAATTAATATAATAAATATGTTTATTCATTGCATATATTAAAATACTAATTAGTAATTAATTCATTACTTGATTTACCAACAGATATGATTTGCTTATTTGATTAGTTATAATATTTTGTTAGTTTATTCTTCTTCTTCTTTTTTCTTTTCAAAATGGAGCTGAATTAAAAAGTAATAAAAATGATAAGATAGTTTATTTTAAAATAATATTTTTTTACAATCTAATCTATACTAATATACAATTTCTTTAGATAATTATATTTGGTCTCCACATTTGATAAACTATGTACCCTTTTATTATTAAAAAAATTAAAATATTTTTTTTAGTAACTATTACTCTTTTTTAATAATTATCTACTCTACTATCTTTTCAAAATAAATATTAAGATGTACAAAGTGCCTCTTAAGTTTTTAAATAATAAAAAATATTAGAAATTAATCCTAATTATTTAAATAAGTTAATCACTTCTAACTACTCAAATTCTTAATTATCTTTATTACTGAATCTCAATTTTTATTTTATCTTTAAATTTTTTTAAAAAAATATAAAGATATAAAGTATCCCAATCTCACTAGTAAAACATAATTTACTTATCTTATAACCAATCCTATGATGTATTTCTTATTCTTAGAAAAGAGTTGAGTTAAAGACTTAAAGAACAGGATAATTAGTATTCTTCTCTACCTCGTTAGTCTTTTGTTTTGTAATTACATTATAATTATTATCACTGTTAATACCATCTTTATTATCGCTATTGATTATAGCATTATTATTATTATCTTTATTATTTATCTCATTATTATTAATATTACTACTGCTATTAATCTATTATTAATAATATCACAATCATCGTGGTGATGATCACCCCACCTATCATTAATCAATATGTAATAAATAACTCAGTAATATTATAAAATGTGTAGCAAATATTAGATAAAATTAAAGTTTGATTTGTTTTCATTCCGTCATCCTTTTATCATACTCTGATATCATTTTTTGTTCTATTATATATTTAGCGGATCTTATCATTTTGATTTGAAAAGAGGAAGATAGAAAAATAAAGAGAGGGAGCTCTATCATTATCAATAAAAATAAGACTTAATTATTTAATTGAATCGGCCTATATATCCTGAAATAGTTATGATTTTGATTTTCACATTACTTTGTTTTATTAAAGATTTAATCATACTTCAACTCTAAATTTATTAATTGGTTAAACTAATCACGTCATTACTCAATACTTTTATCTAAATTAAAATTTAAAACTACAATTACAAAGGAGAGGTGTATATTTAAAACTAAACACTAATCTTTTTACATATTATCTGTCCCTTAATATTAACAGTTTAATAAAATATTTATATAATAAAATTTTATCACAATACAAATCCATCCTTATATATTAAATATGAAAAATTATTTTATCACAATACAAATTATTTTGGATGTTTTTAGATATTTTTATTCAATAGAAAGATTTTTAGCAAATCTTTTATCTTGTTATCCAATTTAATTTTTATTTATAATATTTATTTATAGTTAAATTTTCATATCTTAAAAATAAATTATCAATAATTAATATTAATCTTATTGTATAATATAAATTATCTATCATAAATTTAAAATATAATTTATATATTTAAAAATAGTTATTTATACAAATTTAAATATAATTTATATATTTAAAAATATTTATTTATAAAGAAAAGTAAATATATATATATATATATATTAAAAATATTCAACCATCTCAAACTTTACTCTTTTTACAAATAGACACCAGAAACTTTAATATTATCTTAATCAATCCTTAAATTTTATCTCATTTGTAAATTGACACCATTAATTTTAGTTTTTCCCCTATTTTTAATTAATCCTTAAACTCTATTTCTTTTATGGATAAACACCCTTAACTTTAATTCTTTTCTAGCTAATTCATATATTGACATTCGACAGTTTACTATTTTTACAAATAATTTTTATTATTAATTTATAGTTAAATTATTTATCTTAAATATCAATCATTAACTAATCTTTATTTTTTGTAACAATTATTTTTCAAATAGAATAAAAATGTGATTTTAGGAGTCAAAAATTAGAAGAGAATAATAAAAACAAAAAAGTCTTTATTTGATTTTTTTAATTCTAATTAAATGATATTTTAATATATAAATTTAAAACTAATAAATTTTTCATCTTAGTAATTAATTGAAATCATACATCTAACTCTAAAATGTAAACCCTAAATTGTAATTAAGATAAAACGGTAATTAATATGTTTATTCATAAAAATTATAAATTTTAAGGAATAATTATAATAAAATTAAAGTTCATATATCTATTTGTTAATAGGACAAAATTTAAAAATTAATTTAGATAAATTAAAATTTGTTATCTCTATCTATAAAAGAGATAAAATTCAAAGAGTTAGATACTATTTCCTTTTGTTTTCTCCTATAGGAAGGTCAAATTTGACAGTAAAAACTTATCCCCTACACCATAATTTTAAATCCTCATTTATAGACTATGTCAATATTTTATTTTATTTTTTTTTACAGCAAAACTATGTCAATGTTAAAAACCATTTTTTCTTATTAAGTTGTGTGAGTTTCTTTTTCTTTTGATAATCTTCTTTTTAGGACAAAATGAATGTGAAGAATATTATAATCAATTAGAATAAAAGAGGTACTTCGTACTTTATTATTAAATAAAAAATATTAAAAATAATAAGATGAGAGAGAATAAACGTGTTAGTAATGATATATATATATATATATATATATATATATATATTTTGTTACATATATAACACTTATCTCTCAAATTTAAATCACTAGTAGAAAAAAAGTTTTTAAAATCGGTTATTTTTAACTTTTAAAATCGGTCCTCTAACCCGATAGGATACGTCCTATATAAAAGTTAGGGATATATATAAAAATATATATAAAAAACATATATATATATATATATATATATATATATAAATTCTCAGTTAAATGAGAAAGTTTTCGTTTACATTATTAGAGAGTTTTCAAATCTTATTTGGGATACGGGCAATTACATAATTAAGTAGCTAATGAGAAGCGAGATTAATTTAAGTGAAAAATATAGAATGATAAAAAAAATAAAGACTAAATATTATATTAAGGCTATTCAAACATAGTTATTAGAAGGACCTAATTAGGGTAAAAATGGAGGAAAACTTTGTGTTCTCTG